GGGCTGGCTGTTCTGTTCTCTGCTGCAGCCTCCTCGAGGCCCAGCATAGAAGCAGCCCTCTCCCCTCCAGTTCCTGACCAGTTTTCTATCCCTGGGTATGAGGATCATGTGTCTACCCATGGAAGGGGGGTGTAAATAAGCTGAGAGTGACTGTATGCAGTGGCCGTGATGTCATTAGACTACTGGGCGGATGTCCTGGGCTGTGTTTTTGTTGAAGTATGTGTGCCAAGGTGCATCAGCCCCCGAGAGGGAAGCAAGTAACGAAGGGACACTAGCGACCTCTCCTCTGGCATATTTTGTGAGATGAATGAGATGCCATTGGCTGCTTAGCTTCGAGTAGTTTGTTTGCTGGCTGCCACTTTTTAGACCTTGGGCTAAGAGCTATTCATTTGTGAAATGCTAAAATCTATAGCTTAGAAGGAAATCCCATGCCATGTTCAAGTTCCCTAAGTATCAATCTAAAAATAATGGACACGGAGGCAGAGACAAGATCCCTGGAGCTCTCTACCCAACTAGCCTGGCCTACTTGGTTAGCTCCAGGCCAGCAAAAGACCCAGTATTAATAAAAAGGTAAGCACCTGAGGAATAACACTTGAAATTGTGTTCTGCCCCCCCATGTGCACACAAATGCACACACACACATCCACCTGTGAGCATGCATGCAAACGCACAACCCCCTATATGCATATACATACGTATTAAATAAATAAATAAATATAAATGCCAGATGGTCAGGCATTATGGTAGACACCTTTAATCCCTTTAAACCAGGCCCCAGGAGACAGAGATAGGAGTGTCATGAGTGAGTTCAAGGCCAGCCTGGACAACACAGGAAGCCCTCGTAATAAATACATAGCTTTTCCCCAAGAGCACAAGGATGGCACAACATTAAGAGAGGAAGTCTGCCACTACAACTCAGTCTCTTGAATTATGAATGGAATCAGAACACAGAACTATGCCAGAGCTAGAAGCATCAGCCTGGAGTCATACACACACACACACACACACACACACACACACACAAATAAACCGTGCAAGTTTTTGTGATTGGTTTAACCTTGTGCCTCAACTTTCCCATCAGTAAAACAGTAGTGACGAACTCCTCGCTCGGAGAGCTGAGGAAACGAGACAGTCCTGGGGAGCATCTAGTGCGATGTCAGGCGTGAGGCAACGCTCCACAAATGTTGTCTGTTATGGCGCTGTTTTGTCACAGGAAAAGTCAGAAGCTGTGCCAGCTGGCTTCCTGTTACTGCAAATAAATACCTCCAATCAGCTCACAAGGAGAAAGGGTTTATATTGGGTCATAGTTCTAGAGGTTTCTGTGCGCTGTCTGTCAGTCTGTGGCTTTTGAGTCTGTGAAGAATCAACGACACAAGGTAGGGGAAGTGACTCCCATCACGAAATCTGGGGGGAAAGGGAGGGCCAGAGAAGTTGGAGAAAAGAAACCAGAATCCTACAAGTCCCTTCAAGGACACACCCTCAGTGACCTAAAGTCTCCCAGCCCCACCTCTTGAAGGTTCCAGCACCAAGCCTGCAGTACATGGCCCATTGGGGAACCTTCCAGAACTGAACTATAGCAGAAACATCCAGAAAAGGGGGAAGACAAGGGAAGGGAAAAGAGAGAGGAGAGAGGGGAGAGGGATAGGAAGAGGGAATTTACTTAGAAAGAAACGCAAGGAAGTTCAGTTTCAGAAGGTCCAACTAGCCAATGAAAAGCACAAGCAAGTGTTTAAAGGAAACACGGATGGCGGAAGATCTGCTAAGTCTACCAGGATTTACAGTCGTCTGTTCCTAGTCAGAACAAGACATTCCTCGGCAGCCTGTGACTGCCACCAGCCTTGCCAGAGGGAGGATGAAGCTGTCTTTGCATAGATTGTGGGAAATATACAAGGCATTCACATGTGAGGGACCAGGATTAGACACACGGACTTATTACTGTGGCTTTATCTTGGGGTGTGGATTTCTTTCTCCTAACCTGTCAGAATTATTTTCGTAGGATTTGTGGATGTGACATCTAAAAGACAGACCAAGCCGCTTAACACTGAGAAATACGATTAAATAAAGTATTATGCCCTGTTTGTTTCTGGAGTGTTTAAATGATTGGCATGCATCCAAATTGCATTCATAATTTTCAGACGAATGAGTAAGATCATATAAACTGAGCCAGCGAGGCAGCTCAGGAAATACAAGCCCTTGCCCCCAAGCCTGACGACCTGCGGACCTGCGTTCAACCCACGGGGTCCACATGTCAAGGAAGGAATCCACTCTGACAAGATCATCGACATTTTGGATACCTAAAGCCATCCACAATCCTCTCAACCTTTTGTACCAGATGGCACAGTTTGCATTCTGAGTTCAAAAAAAAAAAAAGATTTTTAAAGCATATGCATTTTCTCTAAAGCCCATTTCTACAACTCCAGTCTGTGTTATCTGCCAAGGGACCCTTAGGATGGCACTGTAAGTGGAAGAAGAGAAGAGCTACTGCAGCTAGGGCAGGGAGCTCTTGTCCAGAGCATCTGAGACCCTGAGCTACACCCCCAGTGCAGGGTAGGGCTGGAGGACCCCCCCCCCCTGTGTTGCTAGCTCTCCGCTGTTAAAGGTTTGCCTGTGTCGTGTCCACACAGGCTCATGTGTTCTGGCACTCGGTTCCTAGCTGGCACTGCTGCCTGAAGAGGCTGTGGAAACTTTTAGGATGAGGGGCCTCGCTGGCAGAGGTAGGGCATCAGGGGTGGCCTTGGAGGTTGTATCCACTTCTGGTTCCAATCCCTTCTCTCTGTTTCTGGTCTTTGCCACAATGTGGACCAGTCACCGCCATGCTTCCCCACCACCTTGCCCTGGAACTTCTGAAGCCATGTACCAAAGTAAACCACCCTCCTTTACGCTGCCTCCCTTGGGCATTCTGTCACAGCAAGGAACAAAGTAACTCCAGAGTTACTTTGTTTACTTAAGCTAATCACCCTTCCATAACACAAGTCCCTTAGACTGGAATCTTAGAATTCTATAGTCTCCTGCCTTGATCCTTCCCGCATATCTTTACATTCACCAAGCAGATTAACCAGGGAGTCAGAGGGGAAGACAAATTCAGAGTGGGAGTCCTATATAGAGAGAGGACAATCCTCCTTGACACTGGAAGAGGCTTTTCAACTGTTTCAAGTCAAGAGCAGCCTCGTTCAGATTCTCTCTCATGAGTCTTGGAGATAGGGTGGTACCCAAGGAGGAGGGTCACACGCAGGATGCCAGGCTGGCTGCAGGTAAGGAAGGATGTATCCATAGCTTGTACCCAACCCCTCAGCCAGGTGGTCAGTATGACTTCGCTGACCTGCACCAAACAAGCCAAACATCCCAGAGCCCCCCACCTCTCACCCGAGCCCACAGGCAATGCCTTCATGATAGGTGTGCCCTTCAGGATGCCCCGGCCTGGCCGTCTTCCTACTTACTGTGGTCACTGCTGTTGGAGAACATAAGATTGTTTTCTTGTCTAACAGTCAAGGTTAACATTGTTTGAGCTCCCGTTACTTTTCCTGTTCTTACTCAGATCATCACCATGTCTGATCTGTGAATTGCGTTTTCTGAGGACACTCAGAAGAATGCCTTGTCAGGGTGGGCAGTCTGAACCATCGTCACCCTAAGCTAGATTATAAGGTCTGAATTGGAATCCCTATTGTTCTGAGCAGGAACTTTGACTGTGACGCCATCTAAAACACTGCCTGAACTTGGGTCCTTGTGCTCGTGGAGGTGATCAGAGGTGGCGATGAGCCTGGCACAGCCATATCCACCCAAAAGCTTAAATACGAATGAGGTGGGAGGAGTAACCAATTCATAGTAAAAAGCCTACGTGTGTTGAGCAAACAAAGTCAGTGCTGATCGTTTTGCACGTTAGTTCATGGACTCTTCTGTGTGTAACACTGCTGCTCCCGATGTCCCCAATTCACAGACAAGAACAAGGCGACTTTGAAAGATTGGTTACTTTCTGTACTTATCATGGCTTCTTAAGTAGAATCGCAACTCCGGCTTCTGAGATCTTGTGCCTTCTCAAGTAGCCCCAGGTGGGCCTAGAGCTGGCCAAGGGCAAGGACTAGCCTGAAGTCCTGACCCCAGGCCTCTGTGTCTGCATCACCCCCACTTCAGGTGTTTCTGGGGATCAAACTCCAAGGGACTTTGATGTGCTAAACTCACCCTCTGCCCACTGGGCTGCATCCCTGATAGGATGAGCTCAGTAAGAACCCTTGCCATGTGGGTTCCTGGAGAAGTCATGGGTGATACAGAAAAGAACTGAGGATGCTGGGGGTGGGGGAGGGGGGGCGGGGGGGTTAAGGAAGGAGGACCAAGGCTCAGAGTAGCATTTCTCATCCGCTGCAACATTGTAACAGCATCAGATGTTCCAGTTAAAAGATGACCTTGACTTGTGCATAGAGGCGAATAACTGAGCCCAAGTTTTTAGTGTGGGAATGGCGGAATGCTTTCTGCAGATAATCAAACAGCAGAGAGTTTGGGTTTGACAAACACTACCACCTCTGTCCCAAGTTCCTAACACTGTCACCACAGCACAAAAGCAGCCACCAGCAATAGCAAACAAATCAGTGTGGCTTTGATCCAAATGAGCTATGCAAAAACAAGTGGCAGGCTGGCTCAGGCTGTGGGTCAGACTTGGCAATGACTGCCCCAGTGCTTGACCCAGGCATGCTCTTTCGTTCTACAGCTATGTATTCAGTCTCTTCCGCTTGACAAGTGTGGCTCTGGGAAGTGACATACTGAGCAAATGAGAGACAAGCATTACCACCCACACAGCCCCTCTGTGGGTGGGCGAGACAAAAATCAGTCCTCTGGTGGAGGTATGGAGGCCTTGGGAAGACTTCCTGCGAGATGATAGCTATGCTGTGTCCTCAACAGCCTGACACTGAGGGGAGCTGTCGCCAACGGCTTCTTAAGAGTTGTTTCGTTAAGGCAACCTGAGAAGGTTCCTGTCCTTCCTGTCACTGACTCTTCTTTTTGTCCCCCAGTCTCAGAACAGCTACAATGACGGAGACTACGAAGGAGCCAGGAGGCTGGGGCGGAATGCCAAGTGGGTGGCCCTCGCCTCCATCTTCATTGGCCTGGTCATCATCGGAGTTTTCTGTGCGGTGCACTTCTCCAGGAAGTAAGTAGGCTCTCCGAGCCCCTGCTGCTACTGAGTGCTTTTCTTCAATACTCGTGGGAATCTATTGGGCTAGGTTAGGAATGGCTTTGATAATAAAATTAATAGGATCTTTACTTTTTCTTACACAGACCATCCAGGGCAGATGCAAGGTCTGTCTTCTGCACAGTCATTCAGAGACCCAGGCTGTCAATCACTCCACTGTATCTTAGCAATCCTATGGGGAAGAAGAGACGGCTTATCATGACTATAACTCCTTGAGTCAGGACTGCCATGCCTGTCCCAAGAATGACCTGAGTCAGGTTTTCCTGCTCAGCTTCCCATCAAACAACAACAGACAAAACCATTAAAGTAGAAAATGGAATTTTACAATCAGACCCAGACTTGAGGGGCACATTTGACCCTTCAATAGCATCTGAAGATAAAGTAGGAACACTCCAGCAAGGATGAGGTCACCTTTCCCCTCCTCTCTGACCCAAGGTGTAGGGATCCAACCGTTGTCAATCCAGCACGTCGGGGCCAATCCTCACACACTAGGACTGAATGGCTCTGGCATGGTAGTGAACATGCTAGGCCTTGCAGGACATGAGGTCCCTACCACCATCTCTGTCATAAGTACTGAGCTCTACCACTGGACACAACAGCAGCCACAAGACAGCGTGGTAACGATCAGTAGGGCTGTATTGCAGTCAAACTTTAGTCACAGAAACAAGTGTTTTTATATGTGGGTTTTAATTCCCCAACCCTCATTTCTAGACCAAGAAGTGATGGGAGGAAGTGATGTGATAGGAGGAAGTAACATGAGGAAATGATGGGAGGAAGTGATGTGATGTGAGGAAGTGATGGGAGAAAGTGATGGGAGGAGGTGATGGGAGGAAGTGATGGGAGGAGGTGATGGG